TGGCCAGGGACAAGTTGTGGGAAGCACAGGTTCATGAAATAGAAACGTTAGACATCCGTACCAATACAGTATGCCGGTGACCATGGAGTTGTCTCGCATGTCTAGTCCGATGTCTCTTGCTTTTGGATCGTTTCAAGATCTACCTGCGGCCGCACATCGCGAAGCGTCCTTGGCGTGGTGTAACTATAGCAGATAGCATCCACTAGATCCGCCTAACTACACTAGGCCGTTGCGCTGTTCGATTAATGAAGAGAAAGTAGTAAGCTTAGTACAGTGTTTTTTCGACTTTCGAGGTCGGGAGCACGCATGTTGTGCATTGGCCAGCACGCTTTCGCACACTTCGGGAAGCTCACCAGCAACAAGTCATGTGGAGTTGAAATGACTTCTGCTGAATCGGTTTGCACGCCAATCTTCCGTCTTTACGGGTCCGGTGCCCGCACTGCTGCGTAGGGATGGGGTTATTCAGCGCAATGTCAGATGATGTTGTGTATCGCAGGTTGACAAAGGTAAGATTTGGGAATCATTACAGTTTTTCGAAGATGGAATGGCTGTCAAAAGCAACCCGGAGGTTTTGCACATTTTTCGCGGTCTCTCTGTCAGGCCAGTATGCACAAACATGTACAAGCACAGGTGCGCGGCTTCTGAGCTGCAAGTACACACATCCGTTTACGATAAAATACCGCTACATCTCTACGTCTTTCTTACAAAGCATGCTAAAACACTCAGCCCCTGTGCAGGGAGCTGGTCGAGTTTGGATCTCGGTTGCTTGCACGCCGGAAGCATATCCTGCACAGTGTTGTGTTGGAGCTCGGGGTATCGGGTGTACAGGTGACGAGATTTAAATTGCTTAGAAAATCAGTGCCGGGAGGTGTTGCGGGTTACAGGCTTGGATCTAGTGTATCTTTGCGCAAAGCTGCCGGTACCTGAACACTAAACCCCTAAACACCAACGTGTTGGCACTCCCCAGGTCATCCGCAGCACAGCCAACGAGGTCATTTTGTACATCGAGTCGAATCACTACAGCGTTCGCCGGCCCAACATCTGCCAACCAGTTGTTTCGGGTTTTAGCGTTTAGGGATAGGGGTTCAGGGGCCAGTTCCCAAATAGTCCTAGGTACCGTTCATGAAGAATACTTCCCAAAATCATAGTAGCAATTCCTACTAATATAGAACCCCAACATTTACTACATAGGCACTTTGGACTGCTTGGGGCTGTTGCTCCCTTGCTCAAGCTCTCCTTGGGTTTCGTTCGCGCGTAAAGCGTCTCGACGAGTGACTGCTCTGAGCTCGATCTGAAGGTGACCGCCTTAAGCTTCATAGGCGGACTGGTTCTTGTGCTGCTGGCTCGCGTTGTCAGGGCTGCAGGGTGGCGTTTAGGGTTTAGGGTTTGGACTGGTACTTGTGCTGCTGGCTCGTGTTGTCAGGATCTGCAGGTTGTACCTATGGTGAGGGAAGGAGGTTTGGATGGACGTCCGAGTATGCTGCCACCCAGCAGTAGGGACACGCCGTTACGCGCTTGCGTGCGGTAGGCATGAGTGAACTGGCGGGAGTATGCAAGCTGACAAATGCGCGTGCCTGTGTATGAATGGGATATGAATGCGGACAAAGTTCATGGACATGAGCAGGCAAAAATTGTGGTTATACGAGCGAATGAAAACATCATTGACCACGGAAGGAGCGTACTGCTGTATGGAATGTCACTCCAAGACTAGCCCAAGAGGACCCAATATTCGAAAGTTTGCCTAGCATTACTGGGTTTCTCAAATATTTATTGGAGGACCCAATAGTGGAAAGCTTTTGCTGGACTTGATTTTTGGAAGCACGGCTCCCGAAATTACAGAATGTATCTCCGGCTTGAATTGATGGGCTGCCCGTTAAAGCAAAGTTTGCTTGTCCCGCAGCGAGTTTCTGAGGCATCGTAGCACTTGAGCAACGGCTGAGGAGCCTGGCCCTCTGGTACAACATTAACGTGTATAGTTGTTGTTTCGGGTGGGCCGGCCGCACTCGTCAGAGTGCCACATGATGCATGTATGTCTGTGTGCATGTTGTATGCATGCCAGTACGACGCATGAAGCCTGAACACATCCTATGCCAAAAGCGTGGCACCACGATGTCACTAAACCTTTCAACCCCGAGGGACAAAGTGTAGGATGTTCTTGCTCTGTTCAGTTCAGGGCTTGCAAGCTTTGGTATGTGGGGTTTAGCCTTATAAATAAAGGGTTTGTGATGTAGGGGTTTAGAGCTCCAAAATCCGACTGTTTTGAGGGTGCGATGCCCATTAGTAGAGGAGTCAGAACCTGCTAGATTGTAGTGTTTACGGCTTACCTTGGCCCCGCAGTACCTATATAGGGATTATTTTATACCAAAGTATATGCTATTTGGGTACATGGGCCCTTAGGGTTCAGTCAGAATCCCTGTGGCCCAAAAACTGGCCACTGTCTATGAGCCCTACGTAAATCCCTGAGCCCTCTGTACTTGGAGGGTCGGGGGACTTAGTAAGTAGGTACTAAGTAGACTTATAAGTATCCCAAAAAGGGACCCTATTTGGGGTTATGGTACGTATAAGTCTCTAAGATAACCAGTTACGAAGTCCCCCGACCCTCCAAGTAGACCGGAAGCCCCAAAGCATGTAGAACAGAATCTCGAAGTTGTCCCAAGCTTCATTTCACGGTTTGAGTTGCTTATGCAACGGTTTAATAAGTATGCTACAAAGGAAGAACGATCTGGGCTGCAAAGGGCATCAAAGATCAGCCCCACTTGGAGGTTCATGGGTAGTAATTTTCAGTCATAAGTCCCTTAATGTGGGCTAGTAGTATAGTTACCCTACTTATAACCCTACTCATAACTACCCATGAACCTCCAAGCAGATTAGATTGCTAACCCTAAACCCTGTACCCTGAACCCCTAAACCCCTAAACCCCTAAACTCTAAACCCTATACCCTACAACCAAACCCCTAAACCCCTGAACCCTTGAACCGCCAGGCTGGCATTTCCGCCCTTAGTTTGCTTAACGTCTTCGGATTTCTTTCGGGACCGCTGTCCTACGTCATGCAAGCCTACGAGGCTCGCCGGGGAGGGGGGCGTGTTTTGTAGGGTTTATAGGGTTTGGGGTTTAGACATTAGAGGTCAGCGGTTACGGGTTAGCGGTTATGGTTTGGGTTGAGTGCGTTAAGGGTTTAGGGTTTTATGGTTTTGGTTGCGTCCTGGGGCAGATCTGCGACTTATTGTCGATGGCTACTTGGAGGGTCGGGGGGCTTAGTAAGTAGGTAGTGGTAGACTTCTAAGTACCCTAAAAGAGACCCGAGTTTGGGGTTATGGTACTTATAAGTCCCTAAGATAACCAGTTACTAAGTCCCTCGACCCTCCAAGTAAGGGCTCATCTAAACTATGGAAATGATTGTATATTCCTGTTATGGGTAATGCAGGATTTATATCATCGTCTGTGGGTTTGAGGTCTTTGGGTTCAGGTTCAGTGTTTCCTCGCGGCCTTATTCAGTCTTAGTAGGACCCTAACTTCTGGATCTCTGCTATGGCAGAATCCTTTCTGAACCTCCCAAATGGTCATCCGAGACGAAATCGATGCTTAAACCAAACACCCTGCACTAAACTCCTAAACCGTAACTCGGACATATTGAACCCCAAACCCCAAAACAATTCACACGAACCCGAGTCCGAAGAAGCAGGATGCGCCAAGCTGCCTAATCGGCGGTGGCTGCTCCTAAACAGATCGAATATTGTACATTGATAGTCTCAACTTGTCAGAGTCAGGGTGTGAGTATGTATATATCTATCTATATATATATACATATGTGTATATATGTACACAAATGTATGTAGACATGTATGTATTTATGTACTTGTTGTTTATCTATTTGTTAATATGTGCGTGTGTATGTCACATACGTATATGTTTATCATTTACTATGTGTCGTTGTGTTTTGTTTATCAGTGTTCCTATATACAGACATACTATATGTGCATACACATACACGTACACATACGCAGACACAGACCCTCAACCCTGAACCCTCAGCCCTCAACCCCTAAACTCTCAACCCCAAACTCTAAACCCTCAATCCTAAACCCTAAAACCCTGAACTCTAAACGTCCCGAACCCTGGCAGTATCCTTATAGAGTCCCTCAAAGGAGCCCTTATAATCCCCCTGCAAGGAACCCTTAGCCTTATACTCCGCTTTCAAGGAACCCATATATACCCTCCTGTAAAGGAACCCATCCCGAACCCCTGGCAGCTCCTCTTCGGCCTCGTCATTTGCATCGTGGACGGTCCAGCGGATCGATTCCCCGGCCTCAGAAAACAGGCGCCCGACCGGTTTTGGCTTTCTTTAAGAGGGGATTAAGAGGCTTCCGTTAAAGGGGATAATAAGGCCACCTTAAAGGGGATCATGAGGGTTCCTTTGACGGGCTCTATAAGGGTACTATACGTGTTTCAGAGTTTATGGTGCAGGGCTTCAGAAAACAGGCCAGGAAACCCCTAAGGGCCCTTTGTTTAGGGGTGCGGGTTTTAGGTTTTAGGGTTTAGGGTTGTGAACTCCCTTGAGTTCACCTGGTAGCTCGTGACCCTGTCACCAATGATCAAAGATCTGAAGAATGAAAGGTTCCTCAACCGTGAAGCCAAGATCAAAAGAAGAAAGAGGCTGCCCTGCAGCTAAACGTTCCCCAGCGTCCCGCGCTGTTTTCTCCAGCAGTCCGGCTCAGGCTTCAAAGGTCCATGCAGCACCCAGTGCTGAACCCTACCCGCCCACCTTCGACCCTTGGGCCTGAAAGGATAGGCGGTGCACGAACATGGCCACTCGCTCCTGTCGCAGCTCAAGATTTTCACACTAACCCTATTTTATTGGCCAAGTTCGTCCATCTGACGGTAAGCGACTCGGTACTGCGCCCAAAGATGTTCTGCTGAGAGGAGTCTCAAAAGTGGACTCGATCCTTCATCATCCCATGCGCGATACTTTAAGGGAGTCTTAGGGTAGAGGCCTTTAGACTTAGGGTCGGGAGGAAGCGGCTGAAGGCTGTTGGAGCCACTCAATGGCTTTCCGGCGTTGGGCATCTCTTGCTAGGGATTCTGAGGTATCGAACAAGCGAAAACGGCCTTGCGCAAGGACTGTCCGAAGCAAGGATGGATCCATATTCTTAGTCAAACTGTCTGCTACCTGCAATGTGGTGGGGATCCACCGGAACTGAGCGTTCTCTGCGCAACGCTGCTTAATCAAGAGCACTTCCAACGTCGTGCGATGTTCCTCACAGGATGGCATGGCTAATCTGGTCACGAGATCAAAGAGGGATTTGCAGTCTGTCACTACGAGAGCAGTATTCAGCAGCTTATAGCTCTTTTCAGGTTGTCGCCAATCGAAATGAGGCACATGGACCACTCCCCACAGTGCACGGAGCCATCCCAAAAGATCAACGGCCTTTGACATCGCGTAAGCTTCGGCTGACAGGGTTGATCGGACCACTCGGGGTATTTTCTTAGAAACCCAAGCAAGAGGAGACACTGGGGCTTCCTGGTTTTTACTGAGCTGACCATTTGTGGCGCATACAAGAACACCCTGATGGGAATTAAGATTCTTCGAGGAGGCGAAGGACGCATCTCCAAAAGAGACGAAAGTTAGCTGATCTGCCGGTATCGAAAGAAAGTGTACGCAGACCTGATCGAACTCTTGGGCCTCCCGTAAAACGCGATTTGCAGTCAGCAGCGTCTGCACAGTTGCTGTTGTGATTTGGCTTTGGATTTCCCCTAGTTTAGCGGCTATGTCAGGCCTCGTATGGGTGACCGCGTATTGAACGCTTCCAACAAAACCACGCAGCTTGGAGCGCTCCTCTTCGGTGGCCGGGGATTCTGGGTTCTGCCTTCGATTACGACCTACATCAATGGGCAACACTTGACGGATGTATTCGCCCTGTGAGGCACGGATCGTGAAATCAGGCATTTGCTCAAGTCGAATACCGGTGAACACGAAATCTCGAAACTTTCGGCTACCGAAGGGCAAGGTTTTCTGCAGAGTCTGAATTTTATCTAGGAAGACGGCATCCCCTCCGCAAGCCCCGTCATCAACATGAACTCCCAAAATGCCATTTAGCTTCCCTTGGGTGTACAGAAGAAAAACACACGGCTCAAGAGGATGCCTAATGAACCCGAGGGCTTCAAGCTGCTTAGATAGCTCTTTGTAGAACAGCAAAGGAGCATCAACTCTCCCGTACGCATTCCCCAGCAACTGGCAGACTTCGTCATCTTTCATTTGGAGAAGCTGACGGAGTTCCTTCGGGGGTTCCATGGCAAGGGGATTACTCTCATCGGCTTTACCCCTTAAGAATGCAGTCTTAATATCAAAGGATCCCAGCGGAAACTTACACGAGGCTATGGTCTGTAAAACTAGCGCTCGACCTTCCTTCGAAAGTGTGGGGGCATCCCTCATAACCTCAACCAACTTAGGGTCCTGGAAACCTAAAACCACTAACCGTGCCTTGGCACGGGGTTGGGATTCACCGGGCTCGGGACTCTTCCACGTTAGGATCCATCGACTCCTTAAGATCTGCTCGGGATTTAGCCGTCGGCGAAGCACTGCACGGATGGCTGAGGTCTGTACCCAGCATTGCAACTCTTTAGCCTTTGCCTGTTCAAACAGCTTTACCTCCTGAGGGGTCAGGTCTTTTACGTTAACCTCAGTCCTAGCACGTTTGCTCACGGCTGCCAAAGTTGCAAGCTGCTCGGGCGCTGCTTCGGATGCCCAACGCTTTAGGTCCTTATGTCTTACAGGAATTTCTAAGCAAAAGGCTTGATGCTCAGCACACTCTAAGGGATCTTCGACATATGGAAAATTATCTTCGGCAAGCGGGGGACCCTGAAAGTCGTCGCTAGTCTGAAGCGTTGTGAAATCCATGATTTCCTCTCCCTGAGAGTCCTGAACACCCAACTGGTGACTAGCTAACAGGGCTGTCTCAGTGTAAAGACCCTCCTCACTGTCGGGCACAGGGATGCTTGCTGCATCAAGCTGTCCAGGTTCACTATACTCTACGGTCGGCTGCACGGAATCAGAAGGAGCTGCGGCATCGCGCTCAACTTCTGGCGCATCAAGGGAAACTGGAGCTTCCGTCTGAATGCTCACTTGAGGCGTAAGCTCTTGCTCGGGTTGAGCAATGTCGTTATCGCCTTCTCCAGTTCCCTGAGCGGCGGGCGCGCCAGACACAGGAACTGGTGACAAAACAGCCAGTTCGGGAGATCCTGAGGGTGAGGCATTCATCGAGGAGTTGGGTATCGCGGTGATTTCTGGATTGGGGATCGTGAGGTCAACAAAGGTACTGGCGCCTCCAACTCGAGAAACAGTCTCGGAATTTGACACGGACGTCGAGAGGCTCTGCCACTCCCTCAGGGAACCTGGTCGCAGATTCTCCGGAGCACACCGGAGGATTGTTGCTCCATGAGCAACCCAAACTACGGACTGCCCTTCTTGGCAGATGACCTTGGCCGGACCGTGCCACCTACCTGCTGCAAGCCGGTTTGGCGATGTCTTCTTAGTCCAGTACAGAACCCATGACCCTGCAGCAAACGGACCTCGCACCGGATGACTACGCCTCAACATGGCCCTCCGGATTGTTTGGCAGTTGTCGGCTTCGAAGAAGGCTTGTCGAGCCCTACACCGCAGGTCCAATCGTCTTCGGTGGGCCTCGGCTTCAAGATCATCACCTTCGGTCAGTGCGTGAGAACTCCACTCCTCGTCGGAAGTGATACTTCCGGGGATGCGAACAGACCTTCCCAAGACAATCTGTTCTGGAGCATAGCCTTTATGACGGACCAAAGCGTTCTTAGCATTGAAGACCTGATGAAGTGCCTGATCAAGCGAACTATCGTTGGTGATTGGGGATTCTTTATCTAGTCGGCTCAACATGCTCTTTACGATATCGCCGTGGCGCTCGACTCGACCCCTTTGCCAAGCAGCCGCGGTGACAAAGGTTTTGATGTTTTGGCGCTGAAAGGCTTCCAAGGTGGCTTCCGATCGAAATTCCCCGGCTGGGTCAACATACACAAGCTTAGGGGTTCCTGCCCAAGAGAACCAACTATCCCGTAGGGTGCTCAAGGCTTCAGCTCCGAGTCGTGAATTTGATCGGCGTCCCAGGTGGAAGCAGCTGGATTCGTCAAGCACGTGAACAACATAGGCTCGATAACCCGCCTGGCCCTTAAAGAAAAACCCGTCAACTCCAAGAACATCATTAAACTCTTTTGGTTCGGGCAACTTACTGGGTCTCTGATGGCGAGGCAACGTAGACTCTAAACACACGTCACACTGATAATCCAACGCTGCTTCGACGAGCTGCTTGTCTTCGCCAGCGGCGCGCAGGTGCTCGGAAAGCTTCTTGGGATCTGGGTGACCTAGATTGTTATGGGCTCGGATAAGCTGGGTCTTGAGGTCCTCAGGCAATCTACGGAAAGCAGGCCCATGAAGTGGAACTGGTGGAGGCGCCCATCCTTCCATGTCGGGTTTTGGGACCTCGTCAGATTGGGAAGTCCTAAGACTGGTAGCCGGGTTCCCAGGGGACTCAGCATTACGATTTTGTGCAAATATTGTTATCAGTATCTCGGCGGCAGGAATCCGGGCTCGCTTGCTGGTGCCGGGCATCGTGGTGCGGTCCTCTTGTCCGAGAGACTGAAACACTGCTGCTTGCCCCGGGGGCTGACGCTTACACAAAGAAATTCGCCAAGGAGCTACTGTCGGAGGCAGGGCACCAAGCGGATATTGGAGCTGTCTACATCCCTTTCCCACAAAAACCTGAAGAATCCCAAGATCAGGAAACCGCTCCTGAAGGAGCTCTAGGAGGCGACTCTGAGGGGGAACTAGAGTTGAACTCGCCTTGACAGCATGCTCCACGGCTGACTCAAAAATGGACTGCCGCTGTGCATCAGGCAGGACTTCCGGCGCTTGCACAGACGCCGAAGGGGATGCTGCGCTGGACTCCTTCCTCCTAGCCTTCCTAGCTATGCCTTCCCCTGATTCGGGCTCATTCGCTCTCTTTTGGGCATCTAGGGTGTTGCGGGATCGGGACATACCCAGCGACGTCTTAAACCTCTTACGGGTTAAGGGCTGTCCTTGATCAAGGGCTAATGCGGACTCATCTTTAGCACGCATCAGAATCTCGGCTACATGCCGAGAAAATCCCAAGCAGTATGAGCCAGCCTGATGCGTCCTGCCCAAAAGCTGTCGGAAGCGGTGAGTCAGGGGCTGATGCGCAGGATGTCCCGGGCACTGTTTTTGCACAAGACTACGGACCAGCTCTGCAAAGGTACTAAAGACCACAACCTTCTTTCGAATTGGGATCTGCTGTATGGGAGTTGAAAGTCCAAAAGCACACATGTCGACAGTTGCTCGCTGGGTCATTTTGATGATTGGTTTACACTCGTCTTCATTTGTCATACAGGAAGCAAGGTGAAAATGTCTGTGATTCTTGGTTTGCCATTCGCAAATTTTGGGACACAATCGAACATGAACAAGCTCTCGCTGTCGGTGTTCTTTTAGGGTTTGGGGCCCAGCGGGATTTTTGGCGCTGTTCAGGCGTGCCCAGGAGCACCAGTAGCGGCTGTCGGGAGACATCCAGATATGCCGAGGCTGCGTGCGTTGCAAAAGGTTCCACAGCTTTCGCTGACCTTCAGCCGTTTCTAGATCTCCTTCACCTAGAGTGAAGCGCTGGGCCAGGCCACCTAGCGCTCGAACCTGCTCTGTTAAACGACTATCGGGATTTGCATATATTTCAAGTACATCCAATTGAGGCTCACTAGGTTGGGAATACGTCAACATGGAGTCTTGGTACACATTCCACGCAGCCTCCTCAGCCTGTTGGTAGGCCTGAGCACAAGCATTGGCAGCCATTTGCGCCGCCTCGGGCAACGGCGACTCCAGCAGATCACTTGCAGAAATCAGTTCCCGACGAAGGTCAGACGATTCGGGAACGGACTCAGAGGCAGACGCTTGGTGTATCGATCTCGGGACTGCTTTAGTCTGCGGGCTCTCAACCAGATTGGTCATGGCAAACCGAACTCGGGGCTTAATAGGCAATTGAAAACCAAGGGATTTCATCAGGGCTCGGTCCTCATCGGGCAACTTAGGTGTAGCCTTAAGACAATAACCTATTGCCAACACTCGATCACCGGTCCAGGGCGCAGTAGCATGCCAGCAGTGCGGATCAAGATACATGCAGGGCTTAAGAGCCACTAACGTTCCCGACATGGCAGAATGACCGCACAGGCGATCCTGAGCTGGTTGCCGAGCGTGCGGGGATTTGGCTACCCAGAGCTGACCACCGGTGTCGGGGTATTCTAGAGGTACTATGAGGTTCGGGAATTGTTCAGAGTTGTACACATCTCGATGAGGCTCAGCATTGGCATTGCACGACACACCTACAGAGGAGAATCGATGCTGGGGATCACTTAGGTGTATTAGGGACGTAAGGGCTCGAGTGATCCAAGGGTATTGCCTAGCTACTGAAGTGACTCCCACTATTCCTCCGTGAACATACATCCCAAACGTCACGTAGGCTAGGGGTCTCTTAGCATCGGGATTCGGGGCAATCACGGCGGCCCGGGCAGTGCTTTCGGCAAAGAGGTGCCACGGCACCTTTCGCAGGAACATGCGAAGCTCAGACAGCGTGGGCTGACTTTGCATCAGCGCCTTGGCGTGGTTTTCAACATCGCGAGGACTTACACTAGCTTGATTAACAAGATCATTCAACTCACGCTGACATTGAGCAACTTCACTCACGAGGAGCTCGGGGGAGCATTCAGCTGGCGGATGGCTGAAATCATTTCCTGCATCACTTGCTCCATCTGGGACATGCGACTGTTCAGAGTCGCCACTTGGTCCTGGAGCGCAGGCTCCTCCAGCATTTCCCAAGGGATCTCGGGACCGTCCTCGCGAGCACGGGCCTTTGGCGCAGCCTGACTCAACATGCTCGTCTTGCGAGGCTTGTCCGACTTGATCACGGCAGGTTCGCCACGTAGCTCGACCTCGAGCTGCTCCGCCTGGCTCACATATTTTTCCACGAAGTTGATGAACACCTTGTGTTCCCGTTTGCCACTGTCGTGGTAGTGATCCACGAACCATTTGGTCCAGTCGGAACCTTCCTCCACGCAGTCCATGAAGGTGCGGCCCTTCATTTTGGTACCAAAGTTCACCAGAAAGGCACCGTGCTTTTCGAGGCTGAGTGCCTCGATCTCGGCCATGCTGAGACTCATGGTGGGGTCTCGCAGCTTGACCAAACGAGTGCCGAGACTGGCTGTCGGGGCACGGGAAGTCGTCGCCTCGACATCTTGACTGCTCTGCGCCATGCTGGGGGACTGAGCGAGGGACGGGATTGCGGATTGCACAATTGAGCGTCGGAGCGGCTTGCGGGACCGCAGTTCGGCTCACACTTGCCTGAGCTGGAGCTGTATCTATGCTACCAGGTGTTCTCGTGGGCACCGGCAGGCATTCGTTAACGGCGCTGGCAACACTATGCTTCAACGCTGGTTTTGAATTCTCTACCCGAGGGTTTCTAAAGGAGCGAGGAACCGCTATACATCCCAAAGTTCTCTTTCCTATTCCCAAGGGCTCACTAAGCATGCACGGGTCTTCGGCAGCGGGAACATGAGGCGGATCTTCGGCAACAAGTGAATTTGCAGCCTCATGGTAACTTTCTTCACACAGCTTTGAAAGGTCAATCATGTATAGCCCTGTCGGGCCGGTCTGCATCTGAAGCGAACGCTGAAGGCGGCGAAGTTCGCACACATCAGTCACAGTATTGATGACCCCTCCTAGCTGCTTGATAGCCTTCTTGCTGAACAATAAAGGTGTGTGACCCGGTACCACCTCTATCCCTAGCCACAAAACCTGGTGATCCGTTGTTCCGAAAGGCAGCAAAATACGACAGTCACTCATTAAGGTCTGATTGTTACCAAACCGAAACCGAATGGCACTCTTCTGCACCCGAATCTTGGAACGAACGGAATCACTCAGCTGGCCAATGAACTTCTGAAGCAAACTCTTGCCCATCACGCAACGGCTTGCACCCGTATCAAGGATAGCTTCAACATGGCTAGCTTGCTGGGCAAGAGTCGCCACCTCAGTTGCAGCACACCTAACATGTTTCATGTCAGGGCAAAAGGCATCAGTCGAGGCTGGTTCCCCACTGCTGCGCGGCCTGAGGGATTGTTGCTTCAGCAGGTTGTGGCGATTTTGCAGCTTTCGGACTAGGTTCTGGAGATTAGGGAGGACCGTTTTAGGGGGCACAGGATTGTACGTGCAAAGCGCCTCCTCCAAGGTCAAGGCATCAGCTGGCAAGCTGGTCAAAATCTCCTGAGTGACGGCTTGATCTGCGACCTGGGAGACATCCATGAATGCCTCGGCCACCGTCGTGGTGGCTTCGCTACTCGGGTTTCCCTTGCGGCGGGGACATTCCGCTTTCCAATGTCTTTTTTCCCCGCAGATCCGACAGTTCGAGCGAGCAATACGAGCCAGGAGCTGCTCTCGATGCTTGCCCTTGCCCTTGCCGCCACCCTTGAAACTGCGACCGCCCTTGGGAGCACCCTTGCTTCCTCCAATCGGCCAGAAGCGGGACTTCTTCTTTGCTAGCAAGCGATTGCGTGCTTCCATGTAGCTCACCAAGGCCTCTTGAAGCTCAGGAGTGTCCTGGAAGAAGCTTTCCAACTCCTCCTCGAATGCCTGAACCTGCAAGGCGTCTTGGTCCTCCGAAGCCAGCATGGCTTCCATGAAGCCCTCATCGAGGTCCACTTCGGCCTCTTCGACGGCAGCGCTTGCCGTCATAGCCGGAACCATCTTCTCGCCTTCCTCCGGAGGTTCTTCCACCACATTGGCATCGTAGGTCCGTGACTTCACCACCCTCTGACCCTGCAGATCGGCAAAGAATCGGGACCCCAAAAGCCGAATCGATGAGCAGACCTTCTTGTAGTCTAGGCTTCCGCCAAGCTCCAAAATGATCTTCTTCCGATCCTCTGAAGTAAGCTGGGACTGGCGCAACAATATGTAGGCACGTACCTGTTCAAATGTCACGCTCTGCGACAACAGCTCCTCGAAGTGAACATCATGTCTGGCCAAGTAACTATCGTTCGTCTCATCCTGCTTCTGGACGGTGCCGTACAAGGCCTTCTCGAACACGTCATACTTCGCCTCGAGGTCTGTCTTTCCGCAGGATCCACCCAGAGTAGAAACCAGAAGCTTGATCCCAGACTCATCGCTGCTCTTCAGCTTGTCTGGCGGTAAACTGGCGATCTTCTTGAAGGCCGTGCCTTCCACCTGAAGAGCTGCCCGTGGGGCGAGCAAACTCAAGTGTTCCTTGGGCCACATGGCCGCCAGGAACTCCAGCTTCCTGCTGTACTCCGTCACATCTGTCGTTCCAGGAATAAACTTCGGAATAGCCGCCCATGGTAACTGAAATCCCGTTGATCCCTCGGCCGTCGTCGGCCCGGTCGAGGCCGTCGCTGGCTGTTGTGTAGGAGGCATTGATATCCCGAAATGGAAAACCCAGAGGTCAAGATTGGATCGGCCGCTTTTGCGCAGATAGCGAAGCTGTAGGCTCCGCTACCAGTGTGAACTCCCTTGAGTTCACCTGGTAGCTCGTGACCCTGTCACCAATGATCAAAGATCTGAAGAATGAAAGGTTCCTCAACCGTGAATCCAAGATCAAAAGAAGAAAGAGGCTGCCCTGCAGCTAAACGTTCCCCAGCGTCCCACGCTGTTTTCTCCAGCAGTCCGGCTCAGGCTTCAAAGGTCCATGCAGCACCCAGTGCTGAACCCTACCCGCCCACCTTCGACCCTTGGGCCTGAAAGGATAGGCGGTGCACGAACATGGCCACTCGCTCCTGTCGCAGCTCAAGATTTTCACAAGGGTTTACGCTTTGGGAATTTAAGTTAAGTCACCACCTGGACCCCTAAGGACCCTTTTGTAGAGCCCCAACGGCGGTATTTGGGGAGGGGGGTATGTCAGAGCTTTGTTTGGGTGGTCTAGACACCACTGCGGTTTTGGTTTAGGGTTTCAGGTGGCGGATGTAGGGTTTTAGGTTTAGGGTTTGCGGTTTAGAGTTCGAGGGCTTGGTGTAGGGTTTTGGTGTTCGGGCTCTTGCTTACTATTGATATTGGAGAAGGAGCCAGGGATGATGATAATCCCTATCAAGGTAGGAGCTAAAGAGGCAAGGGAACCCCCAAAACCACTTGGGTTTCAGTTGAGGCAGACACGACCGTACTACCAAGTGCCAATTGAGGGAGTTTGGGTTCAGTTGACCGGTCAGGTTGGGGGGTATGAGAGTTTCCCAAAATAGGGGACCCTAACCTACCGTTGATGATATATATAATCCTGCATTACCTTCAGGACCCTAAACTATGGGAATTATAGTAGATTCCATATTATGGGTAATGCAGGACTTATATCATCAACCGTATACTGCGCTAAGTCGTAGGATCCTTTTTATAAGGACCCCACAAGTTATAAGGTACCCCTAATTTTCCGTATGGTTGTCGTATTGACGGATGCCTTCGCAGTTGCTCAGTCGCTCCTGAGCGTATGCTGAGGTCATCGGACAGCATATAGCAGCATCTGATTTTCTGCTGAAGAAGTTGGGTTGAGCCCAGACTAAACATTCGGTTCGTAATATGAAGGCCAAAGTTTAAGGTGGGATATGCAGCTTTCAGGGAAGTGGGTTTGCCCTAAACCGAAACCAAACCGTGTCGGCAAGGTGGTGAGCTACGCTGCTTTCTTGCGCACCAACGCCAGCCGGCTTCTTACAGCCTCCGAGTTTGAACGCGCCCAGGGTTGAGGGTGTCAGGTTTGGGGCTTCAGCCCCCTAAAAGACTATAAGGGGTATGCCAGAAAAACGTTTTGTTGGAGATCAAGTCTTCGGGGTATGCAGAACCCTTGTGTTCGGGACCGCATGGTCCATCTGTGGCATGCGCCCTTGTGCTGGGCTAGATCCACACAGAGTTTTGCATGCTAGCACCGGGGCCTTCCATGCATCAAAGCTCTACAAGCCCTCAACCTAAACTGTACCCTACAGTTACGCGGAGAAACACAAACAACCCTTTGTTCTTGTGCTTTCGTGGCTGGCACAGATATTGTATTCAACGTACTGAAACTCGGTGCCCTCACAAGATGAGGTTGGGTAGGATTGTATCAGCACATCTGATTCCCACCTCAATGTTGAGATCCAGTTCGAACCTCTGATTGTTCAGGGCTTGTTTGGGCGAGCTTTGATATCCTATAGACCCTACAAGCCCTAAATCCTAAATCCTACCCAGAGACTCGAATATCCCTTAATTAAGGAATATACCTTAAATTATAGTAGGATCCCTAATATGATTTAAGGAATATTCCTTAATTAAGGGATATTGGAGTCTCTGGGCAATCCATTACATCCTACGTCCGGCAATTTGTGGACGCTTCACCCCAGAAAACCCATACACAACCACAGCTCTACCCCAGAGGGTCCATGTACCCAAATAGTATATACTTTGGGCCCAATGTACCCATATAGGGAGTACTTTAAGGCCAATGTATGTACTATTTAGGTACATGGACCCTTAGGGTACAGTCAAAAACAATCCTCAACAAGGTCGCTCCGTCTTCTATCTCTTCATCGCCTGTTTGGAAGGGCAACACGAGGCCATCGGGAAGTCACCCAAGCGAGTGTTTGGGTCGTGTCGGATGGAGTTCAGGTTTAGGGGGGCGCGGCGGAATCTCGCAAACGTGGGGCATATATAACTCTGAAACCCGAAACTCCAAATCCGAGTGGTGAATCTTGAAGCCATGCACGCGAAGATTGAAACCAGCTAGAGCCCGAAATTTGAACTCGATTCCGGGCTCGGTCTAGGGTGTAGGGTAGGATGGATCTTGGAGCCTTCAGAACGAAAAAACAGCAACTGTCAGGAACCTTTACCAGTGCTTTTGCTAAGAGGGTCACAGGGCTCAGGAAGTAAGTTTATTGGGTTGACACGTATGCAGAAGTGTAGACACCTTATTTATGACCCTAGTTACTAGATCCCATGATTTTTGAAGTCGGAGTCCACAAGAAGTCATTGATGTTTCAGTCTTAGACTTAGACTCTGCACAGGTTCAGAGTCTAAAAGTTCCACGAACCTACAGCCCCGAACGTCTATTGACACATAAACCTCAAGCCTTACTTGGAGGGTCGGGGGGCTTAGTAAGTAGGTAGTAAGTAGACTTATAAGTACCCTGAAAGGGACCCTCATTGGGGTTATGATACTTATAAGTCCTCCCAAACCTGTAAATCCGCAGCGGTATGTCTGCACCCTCCTTAACAAATTCAAAGCCCTAAAACCCGAAGCTTTCTTTTTCAAATAAGCTCATGCTCTCTAAGTATGGTAGGTATTAGTAGGGCATGGCCCCTTTCTTTTGGGGATAATAATTCCCCCCTCCCCCCCCAACATTGCTCTTGCATCCCGAGGTAGTCCTTGCATCCAAAGCCCTAAGCCCTTAAAGGATCCCTTCAAGCATTTCCCTTAAGAACCTTACACCTACAGGTCTTCACATCCTACACGCATCATATAATAAACCATAAATAGAAACCTACGCCTACAAACTCTTCAAGCCCTGATCCCTAACCCCAAGGGCGGAGTGCCTATGTAAGTACATCGGGGGTAAGTATACATCGGGCCATCGGGCCCAAAGTATATACTATTTGGGCACATGGACCCTAATCATAACTGTTCTCCAGGGCTTTGGCCTACGGACTGCCATTGGCTTCTACTTCGCGGGCATCGCGTCGGAGCCTCGAGTCCAAGGTTTCTTTGTTAATGTAGGAACCTGATTTGTTTTGGGATTAGTGAGCCAGGGTTTCTTACTCAGGTTCACACACCTTAAACCCTAAACCCGTAAACCCCACTTAAGGAGGTTGATTGGGTTCCGACATCAAAACATGCAGATGCTCGGGCTGCCCGGGGTTGCAGGCTGCACTACGGGTTCTGCAAAGTTGGTTCGGGCTTCGTTTGTATAGGGTCAAAGGATTCTAAAAGTTACGGTGTTTTTTTGGATGGGACCTCTACAAGGGTGCTATATGGGTTCGTCTATAGGCTGGGTTTCTAAGGAGGTTGCTCAAACCATGAAACCAAACCCTGAACCAGCCGCCCAAAACCCTTAACCCTCTTGAATGCTCGCGGAGCGGGCAAGGCCCTACTTGGAGGTTCATGGGTGGTTATACATGGGGTTATAAGCAGGGCAACGATACTTGTACTTCATATTAGGGGACTTATAACCCTACTTATAACTGCCCATAAACTTCCAAGTATGCTTAATGCAATCAACAGAAAGAGCAAACCACAAGAGCTGCAAAAGCCTTCGAGCAGGCCGGTGTCCGAGGGCCCGTAACCTTGCAGCCCAATCCCTAACCCTACTTGGAGGGTCGGGGGACTTAGTAAGTAGGTAGGAAGTGGACTTACAAGTACCCTAAAAAAGGGACCCTAACTGGGGTTATGGTACTTATAAGTCCCTAAAATTAACCAGTTACTAAGTCCCCCGACCCTCCAAGTAAGGGTCCATGTACCCACATTGTATACACACTGGCCTTCAAGTACTGCCTGCCTATTAAGGTATCCTCGGCGCCCAAAGTCAGTACAGAACCCTAAACCCTATACGAAATAGAACCCATAGACCCATAGAGTAGTATGTAGCCGAAAAGAGCCCTTGAACAGGAGACGCTTCGGTGTTCAGCCTGCGCCACGCCCTTTGTAAAGCCTCGACCTGTCAGACTGTCCGCACTTGAGGGCTTACCTAGACCCTCAAAAGTAGGTAAAATGATGGCCCCACACCTATAAAAGGCTGCGCTTCTAATTACATACTTCAGGGGTCCAGGTAGGCTTTATGGTCATGGTGTGAACCCGACTCCAAGCCGTTTCGAGGGTGGGTCACATGGTCCTGGCAGTGCGACGGCCACCGCAAGAAATGCAGCAGGCCACTATCTTTTACGTGTTTACTTGGAGGTTCATGGGCAGTGATAAGTGAAGTTATACGTATTTATATGTCTCCTAGTATGGGTCATAACTGCAGTTACCCTACTTTTCTTTACAACCCCACTTAGTCCCATGAACCTCCAAAAGGTGCTTAGGGGCGTTCAGTTTTGAATCAGGAATCCTGGGTTTACTAGTGGTTTAGAACACCAATGCTTTCATGCAAGCTTCTCTGTCTGCTGCGGATGCTGTTGCTGTCAGTGCTACTGTTACTATGCTTCCTGTATCTAGCAACAGTACGAGTATGTACGAGTACTGCGCGAGTACCATAGGTACTACTACCACCACCACTACTGCTACTACTACTACTACTACTACTACTACTACCGCTACTACTACCGCTACTACTACCACTACTACTACTACTACTACTACTACTACTACTACTACTACTACTGCTGCCACCACCACCACCACCCACCACCACCACCACTACCACCACTACCACTACTACCACTACCACCACCACCACCACCGCCACCACCACC